AACCATTTGCTTTTAGCTGAAATGGGAGCGCTTCCTGCACAAGATTTCACTTTCCTGATGTACAGAATGTGCACATCGTCAAGGATCATTCCGTAGAAAAAACACCCACATACTGAGGAGAAAGAAAGGATGATTTTTGACATTTTTATTTATTTATTTAGGAAGGACTTAAGGAAACCAGACATAATCTGGAAACACGTTCGTTCGTTAACAACAGTTTGCAGTAGTCCAGACATTCCATTCAAATTAGTGGCTATTCTGGAAAGAAATGGAGACAATAGCTGCTGAAGCAAGCAATCTGGAAGCAAAAGAAAGTTAATATTCACAGATGTAAAGTTTTCCAGGCCAGGCTGGTCTCAGAATCATTGCTGTGCAACAGCAGAACTGCTGAGGGCTTTCAAATTTGTTAGTGGCAAGAGAGTCCTCCTTGAATGAGTGCCTTTGAAGACACTTCCTCTCCTCTATAGCTTCTAAAATTATAATTATCATTGTCACAGTTTGTTTGCTTATAATGTAAAATACATACTGATGAAGGCTGTGTGCTACAAAGGAGCAGAAAAATCTTAAGATGTTAATAGTCAAATCTTTCTTACTTAAAATTTACAGGTCATATTTTCTCTAAATTGCCCAGTTGAAAACTGTGGGAGGTGGTGGGGACTCTCTTGGAATAATGATTTTTGGAGATCTGTCTCCTGGATGACGCTGAGTGGCCTCCGGAAGGTTTCCATAGATAGGTCTGGCTACTTAGTAGTGCAGCAGTCCTAGCTACCTAATCATGGACTCTTATAGAGACCCTATAGGACAGAATAGAACCTCCCCCACAGGGTTTCCAAGGAGCAGCTGGTGGATTTGAACTGAAGACCTTTTAGTTAGCAGCCTGAGCTCTTAACCACTGTGCCAGTGGGGCTCCAAGTTGCCCCCAGCATAATGAACTGAGGGATTCAAAGAGAGGATGACAACAACTTTCCACAGGGGACTTTTGCCTTAGGAGCAGTTCTGCCAGGTTGGTCTCCAAGGTCCCTGGTTTTATGACTCTAGGAGCACATTATCAGCAAAAAGTATCGAAGTCCATGGAACGACTATAAGAATCTGTGTTCTCAGGACAAAGAGTTATAGCCACTGATTTAAAAGAAAACAAACAATCCTAAATGGAGTGATTTGGAGCGAGGTATATTGCGAGTGGGAGTCCTGGGTGGTGCAAGTGGTTAACACACTTGCTGTTAAATGAAAGGTTGGAGGCACCTTGGAAGAAAGGCCTGGTGATCTACTTCTGGAAAATCAGCCATTGAAAACCCTTTGCAGCACAGTTCTACTCTGACACACATGGGGTCAACTTGACGGCAACTGGTTTTTTATATTGCAAGTGACTTATCTGGATTCTTGCTTCCACTATTTTCTTTTACATTTCTGGCCCATTTTACATAACTTTTTCTTCCTCCTCATTTAGAAGAATTTGTTGCTATACAAACTGTGCAAAGCGTTGTTGAAAAAAAGCCATTCCTTGCAATATGTCAGTGAAGGTATAAGACATACTGAGTTTGTCTTACAAGTGATGAAAGTAAACCTATGAAGCTTATAGATACAAAATAACTTTTAAAAAAATACAGAGATGTACTTATTTGTTAATTCCTTTGCCCTTCATTTATTTTTATTTATTATTGTGAAATAAAGATACACACAAACACCAATGTACCTACTACCAAGGCCAAGAAATAGCACATTCCCGTTCCCCAGACACTGCCTCTGCCCCTCTCAGATTCCACTGGTCTCCTTTCTCCCAGAATACATCTTACCCTGGAATTTCTGTTACTCATTTCCCTGGTTTTCTTTATAGTTTTTTTTATCACCTATGCTTTTTTGTTTAAATAATACCTATTTTAGAGTTGCCTGTATGGAGTACAATAAGCAGAATCATATTTCATTCTTCTGTTGCATCTTTGCTCAACATTTTACTTTTGAGATTCACCCATGTTGATATAATTGCATGGTATTTCATTGTATGATTACACTACAATTTAATTACCCATTCTCCCTTGGGTGGACATTTCTCCCTCTTTGCAGTTATGAGCAAAGCTTCTGTAAAGATTCTTGTGTGTGTGTTTGAATGCACTTGTGCAAGAATTCTTGAGGATATAAACCTAACAGTGTAATTGCTGGGTTTTCATGTACGTGCATGTTCAACTTTCTAGGTAATGCCAAACTGCTTTCTAAAATTGTTACACCTCTGAATTCCAACCAGCTGGTGTGTCTGAGTTCCTGTTGGTGGCTCCACATCCTTCTCAACACTTGGCATTGAACACCTATTTCATTTTAGCCAGTCTAATAGGTGCAGAGAATACCAGAAAGATGTTTACCTGTTTTATTGACTATGCAAAAGCATTTGACTGCGTGGATCATAACAAATTATGGATGACATTGTGAAGAATGGGAATTCCAGAACACTTAATTGTGCTCATGAGGAACCTGTACTTAGACCATGAGGCAGTCGTTTGACTAGAACAAAGGGGGATACTGCTTGGTTTAAAGTCAGGAAAGGTATGCATCAGGGTTGTATCCCTTCACCATATTTATTTAATTTGTATGCTGAGCAAATAATCTGAGAAGCTGGACTGTGTGAAGAGGAACGCCACATCAGGATTGGAGGAAGACTCATTAACAACCTGCAATATGCAGATGACACTACCTTGCTTGCTGAAAGTGAAAAGAACCTGAAGCACTTACTGATGACGATCAAAGACCACAGCCTTCCGTATAGGTTACACTTCAACATAAAGAAAACAAAAATTCTCACAACTGGACCAATAAGCAACATCATGATAAACGGAGAAAAGACTGAAGTTGGATCAACAATCAACTCCATGGAAGCAGCATTTCTTTTAACTAAGAAAACAAAAGAGACATTGCATTGGGCAAATTTGCTGCAAAAGACTTCCTTAAAGTGTTAAAAAGCAGAGATGTCACTTTAAGGACTAAGATGCACCTGACTCACGCCATGATGTTTTCAATTGCCTCATATGCATGTGAAAGCTGGACAAAGAATAAGGAAGGCTGAAGAAGAATTGATGCCTTTGAATTGTGGTATTGGTGAAGAATATTAAATATACTATGGACTGCCAGAAGAATGAACAAATTTGTCTTGGAAGAAGTATAGCTAGAATGCTCCTTGGAAGCGAGGGTGGTGAGACTTCATCTCACATACTTCGGACATGTTATCAGGAGGGACCAGAGCCTCTAGAAGGACATCAAGCTTGGTAAAGCAGGGGGTTAGTGAAAAAGAGAAAGACCATCAACAAGATGGATTGACACAGTGGCTGCAACAACAGGCTCAAGCATAAGAACAATTGTGAGGATGGCACAGGACCAGGAAGTGTTTGTTCTGTTATACATAGGGTCTCTATGAGTCGGAAGCAACTTGATGGCACCTAACAACAATAGGTGTGTAGTGGTATTTCACTGTAGTTTTAATTTACATTTCCTTGATTACTAATGAAATTAAACATTTTTTCACAAGTTTATGGACTATTTGTGTGTGTTCTTTTGAGAAATATCTCTTCATTTGTTTTGCTCATTTTTATATTGACTGCTAGATTTTTACTTATTGATTCATATGAGCTCTTTATATGTTCAGGATTCTAATCTTTGGTTTATTATATACACTGAAAATATATTCTCTTAGCATGTCCCTTGTTTCTGTTTTGTTTTGCTTTATTTTATTCCCTTTGTGGTCTCTTTTAAAGAAGTTGTAACTTTAATGTAGTTAAATGTATCAATCTTTTCCTTTACAGTTAGTGTTTTTTGTGTCTTGATAAATCCTTCCCTATTCAAAACTTATTAACATAACCTCCTGTGTTGTCTCCTAAAAGTTTTGTATCGTATGTCATTAACTCTAAGATGCCATTGATCATAAGGTGCATCACAATTTCAGAAATGGTAAAATAGGGGAAGGGAGTGTATCCTTGAAATGATGACAGCAATGCAATTTTATTTTTCTCATTTATATCTTTTATCCAACTAGAACCAATTTTGGAATATGGAGTAAAGTGAGGTCCAAACTCACTTTTTCCATGTGGATAGTCAATTGCCTCCTCACCTTTTATTGAAAAGATCATCTTTCCCTCACCTACTGAATTGCCATCTCTACTGTACATCAAGTGTCGGTCCATGTTGGATCTTTTTCTGGCCTCTCTATTCTGTTTTATTGATCTATTTGCCTATACCACAGTGCCTTAATAATATAGGTTTTTTTTCTGTTTTCCTATACCACGCTGCCTTATTAATATAGGTTTTTTCTATTTGCCTATACCACACTGCCTTATTAATATAGGTTTTTTCTATTTGCCTATACCACACTGCCTTATTAATATAGGTTTTTTCTATTTGCCTATACCACACTGCCTTATTAATATAGGTTTGATATATAGGAGGGTAATTCCTTTCTCTATGTTCTTCTTTGAGAGTTTTTTGAAGAGGAGACCTTTGTTGGGATTTTAAAGAAATTGTATTGAATCTATATATCAATTTGGGGAGAATTACTATTTTTATGAGATTGGTCACTTCTATCCATGAACATGGTATTTCTTTAATTAGATCTTCTTAATAGTCTTTCAGTGAAGTTTTATAATTCTCTTTATAAAGGTCTTGCACTTATTTTGTTAGACTCACTCCTAAATACCTTGTTTTTTGATACCATTTAAATGGTATCTTTCAAAAATTTCATTTCTGACTCTTTACTGAGGGTATATATAAATGCTAATGATTTTTGTATGGTGACTTTTGTACCCAGCAACATTGATAAACTCACATATACTCATCTCCATAAGTTATGTACATATCCGTTTGAATTTCCTATATACACAATCATGCCATTGTGATTTCTTCCTTTTCAATCCTTATATATTTTCTTTTTCTTGTTTATTCTATGAGGACCTCTAATATAATACTGAATAGAAGTGGAAATGACACGCACTTATCTTGTTCCCCATTTTAAAAGGAATGGTTAAGTGTTATATGAAAGGGGAGAAGGTTAGCACTCCCCTTGACAAGGATGGAAGAGACCCTCCAGCCTCACAACGTGCGTATGTTTAGGGTATTGCCACCTACTTTGTGGCATCTAACCATGGTTTAAAAAAATAAAAAAAGGTATGGTTACTAATAATATTTGCTGTAGGTTTTTGTAAATGCCTTTTATCAAGGAAAATATTCCTCATTTCGTACAAATTTTTATCTGGTTAGATGTGAATTTTATCAAGGCTTTTTCTTCATTGACCTAGGTCATCATATGATTTTTTTTCCCTTTACTCTTTTAATGCAGTGAATTATATTAACTGATTTTTCTAATCTTAAACTAACTTTGCAATTCTGGATAAGCTCATTGGTAATGATAGTTATGATCTTGCTGGATTCAAATTGCTGAAATTTTGTTCAGGACTTTTGTGTCTACGTTTATGAATGAGATTGGCCTGAAATATTTGTTTCTCATAATGTCCTAGTAAGATTTTGGTATAAAGTTATGCTAGCCTCATAAAATGAGTTGAGGAATAATCACTTTTTTTCCATAGTCTAGAATAGTTCATTTGAGATAAAAATTATTCATTCCTGTAATATTTTGTAGAAGTCACTCGTAAAACTGTTTCAAACTGGATTTTTTCTTCTCAGAAAATATTTAATAACAGATTCAAGTTCTTTAATGGTTATAAAATTGTAGTACTAATAGCATCAGAACACTTCAGGGGGAATAATGACCAGGATCAGCCCAAAGCTGATTCCCATGAGGCGGAGGTCAGACATACCTCTACCCTCCAACTGTTTTACCACAGTTGTGTCTCCCACGGCACTCTCTACTTCTCTTCTGGGTTCAATAATCCATTGCCATGGCCACACAAAACTCACAGACCATACTTAAAGTTATTTATTAAGGAAATAACAGGGTACAGCTTGGGTCAGGATCAACAGGCTACAACTGAGGATCAGGATCAGGAAGCATGTAGGCAAAGTCACCCTTCTTCTGTGTGGGACAGCTCTCTCATCTCCTCTTGGCCATTCCGGCCTCTTCTCTTTCTCTCTCAGGACAGGCCTCCTTTTGGCCCCCTCAGAACAGACTTTTCTCGGTCCTCTCAGGACAGGTTCCTCTTGGCCCTACCATCTGTCACCACTGACCCTGCCACAAGCCCTTTCCAGGCCTGTCACTGCTAGCTCTGCCACTGGGCCCCTTCTGGGCCTTTCAGTGTCTTCAGTGTTACAGCCCTTGACCTGTGTTATAGCCCTTTTGGAAGGTTCTTTGCCTCCACACTCACCACCTGCTCCTTCTCTCCTCTGTCTTCTGCTTCTCTCTGCTGCTTCTTTGTGTCTGAAAAACCTCTGTGAGGTTGGCTGTTTAAACACACAAACTCCTCATCAATTTCAAGGCATGACCCTTCTACCAGGGCCACAAACTGACCAATCTCCTCTCAGTAGGCAGCAGACACTTAATTTGCATATTAGACTACAGATACTTCATTTGCATAGTCTGTTGACCAATTCCTACAAGGTGCATACCAATCACAGGGCAGGCTGCAGCCCTGGACCAGACAAAAAGTATCAAATCAAGTTGTTTATACCTTACCCAGGAAATGTCAATCAATCTGGCAAAAGTAACAGACCCTCTGAGATAGAAAACTAGGGCAAGGATAACTCTTCAGGGCTTAGAGGAAAAACTCTTTTGAGCTGTTTTTCCAAAGAACCAAGGCAAAAGTCCACATAAAGGAACTCATTTCACCACAATGGTCGATTCTGGTTTTCTATTTCAGTTTTGTTAACTTGTATTTCTTGGAATTTTTCCACTTCATCTAAGTTTTCAAATCAATTGGTGTAAAAATGTTTACAAAATTTTCTTATCTTTTAAGTTTCTATATTATGTGTGATCATAGCTTTGTCTTTATTTCTCACATTGTTTGTTGTGCCTTCTCTTTTTCTTGATAATTTTAGACTAGAGACTTGCAAAATGTATTAGTTTTTCACAAATTCAGTGTTTGGCTTAGCTGGTCGTTTCTAGTGTATGTTTGTTTTTAATTTTATTCTTTTTAATTTTATCTTTATAATTTGCTTTCTTCTATTTATTTGGCTTTATTTTGCTATTCTTTTTATGTCTTTTTAGCTCTTTACATTTCAAACATTTTTCTCTTTTAATATAAGCTTTTAGGTCTACAGATTTTCCCTTAACCACGTGTTTAGCCTTATCCTCAAACTTTGATCCATAGTATCAGATATTTGGTAAATAATATTTAAATATTTTCAAATATCCATAGTGATTCTTTTTTTGACCCATGAGTTTCCAAACAAATGGGTCTTTCTATTTCTTTTCCTTTTTAAAAAAAATTGACTCTTGACTGAATTGCATTGTCAGAGTATATGATCTGTATGATACAAAATTTTCAAAGTTCATTGTCATTTGCTTTATGGCCGGGTATATGATCAACTTTGGTGAAGTTTCTGGGTGGGCTTGAAAAGAATGTTCTGCAGCTTTATGGTACAATATTCTACATTTGTCCAAATTATATCAAACATGTTAATCTTTTCTTCAAATCTTTCTTCTTGTTTCTGATGCTTTTCTACTTGGTCTATCAATTACTACAAGATATGTCATATTTTTTTTTCATTATGATGATAGATTTTTTTTCCCTTCTGGGTAGTTCTGTCACTTATTACTTTGAAATCCCAGCATCACTGCTTACTAGCTGTGAGACCTGTGGAAAGTTATTCAACTTCTCTGTGCCTCAGTTCCTTCATCTATAAATTGGTGTTAATGACAGTAGCTGCCTCGTAGGCGTGTAGTGAGAATGACCAGAGGAGCTGAGCAAATAGTGGCTGCTTAGGAAATGCTGACGATTCTGTGTCCTCACAGAAGAAGAAGTGTGAAAGTTGGGAACAACACAGCCATTTCTCTAAGGTCTAGTCACCTCCCCTGGGAACTTCCAGAGAGGAGAGCACAGTCTCCCCTTCCCCAACATGAGGCTAGGGATTCCCCATTCTCAGGATTCTGTCAAAGATACACCTTCTGTCTGGCCCTTGCCCTCCTGACTTAGATAGGCTTATCAGTGAGTCAGAGTTTTGGAAATTAAAGCCAGGAAGGAAATGTCTTAAATGCAACTTCTGCTTTCCACTCTGCCAACAAACTTCCTTGAGAGGAAGAAGCAGAAAGCCTGGATGCCAGACATGTAGAGGCCAGAGTTTATTAGTGGTTATCTAGGGTGGGATGGAGGACGAAAGGGGGAAGCATTGTTTAGGAAGCGTTGAGTTTCTGTTTATGTGATGGAAAATTTGGCAACGGATATTGGTGAGAGTTGCACAACATGATTAATGCGATTAGTGTCACTAAATATTACATGTGAAAAATCTTGAATTGGCGAATGTGTTATATATATCTTTACAACAAGAAAGTAAGTAAATAAAAATAAAAGAAAGCCTGGGTGCATCCTCTAAAGGGGAGAAAGGGGAAGGAATGCAAACAGAAAAACATAAGTTAATATTTTAAAAAATTATCCTGTTGCCAAAGGAACGGCTTAAGCATATGGTGCCAGTTAGAAGGAGCAGGAGATAAAATTGCAGAGAAAAAGATCACCCTAGATGCCATGCTAGGGAAGTTAGACTTTTCCTCTAGGCAGCGGGTTGCCAAAAATTATGCCACGGTCAGATCTGCAATTCAGGGTGGAGGGGGTGTTGAACTTCGCAGAACTGGAAGGCGGGGAGACCAGCTCGGAGATGCCTGCAATGGACCACAAGACGGATGGTGAAGGCCTGACAGCAGGCAGGGGTGAGGTCAAAGAATTGTGCTGCTGTGGAGGGCCCTAAAGGGGGCAATATAGAAGTTCTGGAGAGCAGGGGACAGATTGCACAGAGCTTTAGAAGGAGCAATGACAGAACTTGGTGGATGTGGAATGGGAGTAGAGGGAAAATGAGAATCCCTCCTGGGTTTCTGGCTAGGATGACTAAATGGATGCCAGTGTCATTAACCAGCATATGAGGAGATTCAGGAAGAGCAGGTTTGTAGAAGCAAAGATAATAGGCCTGAATTTGACGTGACTGTGGGCCATGCGAACCTTGGTGGTGCAGTGGTTAAAGCACTCGACTGCCAACCAAAATGTGGGGGGTTAGAACCCACCAGTCGCTCTGTGGGAGAAAGATGTGGCAGTCTGCTTCTGTAAAGATTTACAGCCTGGGAAACCCTATAGGGCAGTTCTACTCTGTCCTATAGGGTCTCTATGAGTCAGAATCAACTCAATGGCAGTAGGTTTGGTTTGGTTTGGTGAGTCATGCTGGTGGTGAGGTTTAAAGCCACCGAGCTCAGGCATGTGGATCTCAGAGGAGTTCTGCCTGATGAGAGCCAGGAGGAAGTTTCAGGAAAGAAATAATGGTCAATAGTGTCTTACCCTAGGACCTAAAAGAGGTCCATTCTGTTTAGCAACCAGAAGGTCTTTGGTGACCTTAGGCAGAATAGTTTCAGGCAGGAGAAAGAGTGCAGTGAAGAAGCAGAGATTCCTTTTTCAAGGTAGTTTGGCTGGGTATGGAAGCTATGAGGTAAGTCAATGGCCTGAGGAGAACACAGAGACAAGGAAGTCTTTTTTTTTTTTTTGAATGGCAGGAGAGGCCTGAGCCTGTGGATGCTAAGAGATGAATCCAGATAAGAGTTGAGGAAGAGGGTACAATGAATGGAGTGAGGTTCCTTTCCATGGAGCTGGAAGGTGGTGAGGTCAGAGTACAGGTGAAGGAAGAGTCACCATCCTCTGACATTCCAGCGGAGTGTGTGGGAATTAGATGACTCCCCACGAACTTCCCAGGTGTCAAGGACAGGAAGTAAAGAGCTATGATGCAGCGAATAGTAAGTCCCTACTTTGTTTAAATGGTGGTGTAAGTTAAGTAGACACCTGGAATAAGGAAAATAATAGAAATGTGAACTAATCATGCAGTGAGGAACCTAAGGTTGTTTGGAGGAAGGGAGGGTCGTCTAGGATTTCCCAAAAGGAAGGAATGAAGTTTGGCAGAATATTTCCTTCCCAAGGCAGGAGGTAGTGAAGACAGCCTGAGAGAAACAAAAGTCTAAGTGGGAAAAATGGAAGAGAGAAATAAAAGCAAACAGTAACTGAGCGTGTTC